AAAAATAAAAATGTTGCTCTCTACAATGGTGAACTAGTACTAATTCTGGAAATGGTGAGGAACTTTCCCTCACAAATCGTAAGCAAATTTAGCGCAAGATGGATGGAAGCTGATAAGTAAGGAACCTGCTTGATGGTCTCTCTTTAAACTCCCCCACTTTATTTGTATCTCTGTTAGGAAGTTTATTATATCTTTAACCTTGTATTCATTCATTCAAAAAGTATTTGTCCCCTTGTGGGACCATGCCTTATGAAACAAGCAGCTTAGAGTATACTTCTGTTAAATATACATGCTAGATATAAATATATTATAGTTGTATGTATACAGGCTTACCTAGTTGCAATTGGGCAGCATGTATGTGTCCCCCAAGGATTTATTTGGTGGGTTGCCTAAAGTATGTGGCAAACATTTTTTGAAGGAAAGACAGTGGACAATTGAAAAGATGTCCCTCTCTTCTAGGAAAAAAGCAGCAGATAAATTTGACCTCATTGGAGTAATCGCCATTCCTTTTGTTCAATTTAAGGCTTATTGTACAGTTAGCATGATGTATATGATACCAAATCATCCATAGTAGAGCTTAAAATAAGCCCAGTCAGTCAGCTGGATGTTTTGCCTTATTTCTAAGATGTTAAGTTCCTGGTTTCAAACAAGTTGTGTGTGTGTATGTGTGTGTGTACACGTTTGGCTTTTGGGGAGTACAGTTGAAAAAGTCCAATTTATTTAACAAGAAAGTGCTTTTATTAATAATTATTATTATCCATTATAACCTGGGTTCGTTTTATTTATAGGCGAGTGGCTGAACTGTTTATGTTTGATTTTGAAATCAGCGGAATCCATCTAGACAAAGAAAAGGTGAATCTTTCCTGTTTTTTCCTGCTCGTTTTACTAATATTTAGTGGGTTTCTTTATTGCTACAGTCCTTGTACGTTGCTTGAGTTTGCATATCATACAAACTTTAGGTTGTGTTATGAAATTCTTCTATCATATTTGAATATAGTGCTCTCTGGAAGTTTGTCTATTACCCATGAAAACTCAGAATTAAGAAATAACTTGAGACCATTGGGGTGTTTTAGACGTCGTGGCATCCTAGATGGGTGATATCAGGAAGGAGAGGCAAGTGAATAGGAAAGCTGAGAGTTTTGAAGATTGAGGTCTGGAAGTGGAGGTACAGGGAATATCACTGAGACCTTTACATAAGTGTACTTATTCATATTCTACGTGTCTTTGACAGATCCACATGGTTTGTTCTGGAAGCAGGAGACAGGGTCTACCCTGGAATAGGAGGGACCGTAGACATTGTTCAGACCCCTCCTTTCACAGATATGGAAATAGAACAAAGTGATTAGTTCAAGATCCCTTCCTTAGTGTCCAGAATGTCTAAATCTGGCCACTTCTCATTCTAGAACACAACATCCTACGAAACTGAATCCCTCATTTCTATATTACGCTCAGAGCTGGGAGAATGGGGGTGACTTGACCACCACTGAAAGATCCGCCTGCTCCATAGTTATCTCCCCTACTTGCCTGCAGTCTATTATGGTTATGCTTTTTTATTTTTTATTTTTTGTAGGTATGTTTCTCCTAATAAATAGAACATAAAGCCACTTACCTATTAATAGAGATTAGTTTATCAGTATGTTGGAAAGTAGAGGTCAGGGTCTCGGGGGTATTATCTATCTGCAATAGATAATATCATTTTGCTTCATCCTGGGTTTGAGTAATGCTGGGGCCGCTTGCACACCAGTGTGTTTATGTGGTTCTGAGGGCTCAGCACGAGACCCCTGACCTAACCCTGCGCTACACAGGCCGCCAGCAGTCCCCAAGGCTAATAGGCTCTACTGTACATTTATGTTGTTTAAAATGGACACATTGGCCCCTCTTCAAGCCAGTTCTTTATTACTACTTCTCTGTATAATGAATCCACTAGTCTCTGAGTCACTCAAATAAAAATTAGAGGTCAGTTCACATTTTTTATTTCCCATACTTCCATGTCTTAATTAGTGACAAAGTCCTCGGATTGTTTCTGTAGAACTCCTACATCTGTCTGCATCCCAGAACAGCTCACCTTCAACCTTATCACCATATACCTGGGCTGTCCAAAAGGTCTTTGTCTTCCTGACAGTATAATTAATAGTGATTAAGCATTTGCTATTTGAAGCATGTATTTCTGATCAGATCTTTATAACGGCTTTGAGGCTGTTTTGAGTATTATTATCATTCCTGTTTCGTAGATGAGGAACTGAGGCGCCTAGAATTTATGTGATCTACCCAAGGTCACAGAGTTAGTAGGTGGAGGAGGCTTGGACTCCAGAGCCTGCTCAGCTCTCTCTGCCCAGGTTTTCTGCTGCTCAGTCTGACCTGTCTGTGAACACTGGCGTGATTTCCTTAAAATATTGATTTGATCATTACTGTCCTGCCCAGAACCTCTCAGTCACTTTCCATTGCCAATAGCAGCTAATATGTAACAAAGAACATGCATGGCAGTTCTCTTCCAGCCCTCCCTATGCTCCCCTGTAACTCATTACACTGTGCCTCTCGTATGTGGCCCCGGTCCTCCTCCTCCTCCTCCCCTGTCTGCTCACCAGGCCTGCCTGCCTCAAACCCCTGTTAAGGCCTCATCATCAGATCACTGTGTCTGTGAAGCTTTTATCCCCCAGGTGGAATTTTGTATTCATCTGAATTCCCATTTGACTTCTTTTATGCATATTGCATTTATCTTTAAGTGCCTGTTATTGAAGCTGTTCCTACTGCATTACTTATCTAAATTAGAGGCTTCTCAAGGACCAAGAATGCTGGTCATGTTTTTTCCAGTTTTGGCCTCAGCAAATACCAAATGACTGTATGATGAATCATAATAATGCTAGCTAATACTAATCAAGTTTGATATTCAGAAAGAAGATAGTGGAGAATAGTTGCTACAAGAGTTGCTAGGAGAGAATCTAGGTGAATAGTCTTGTTATTTTATGTAATCCTCAGGAAAGATGTTTTTGAAACTTTACTCAAAAGTATTATGTGTCAAGTCAAGATCTGTTTCACCAGCATTGAACCTGCTGCTTTTACTTCTCGAGTGTTCTTAAGGATAGCTGCCTTTCCTGGCAAGTAACTCCCTGGAGCCCACGAACATTAAAGATGCAAATAAAGGGCGCCTGGGTGGCTCAGTTGGTTAAGCGACTGCCTTCGGCTCAGGTCATGATCCTGGAGTCCTGGGATCGAGTCCCACATCAGGCTCCCTGCTCAGCAGGGAGTCTGCTTCTCCCTCTGACGCTCCTCCCTCTCATGCTCTCTGTCTCTCATTCTCTCTCTCGCAAATAAATAAAATCTTAAAAAAAAAAAAAATTAAAAAAAAAAAGATGCAAGTAAAGTAAACCTCCTGAACTCCTCTCTCATAACTTCTGTGTCTGTTCTCCAAGGGGCTCCACTAGGACAGTATAAAAGGAGACATGTTACCCTTTTTGAAAGAGAGATCTTGAAAGAAACCCAACATAATGTGTATAAATTATATAGGCCTGTATATTCTTTCTGTATTCTTCCCAGGTAATTTTTTATTTAATTTTTAAGGTCTCATATGAGTATAACTTAAAAGTTTAAAATGAATGGAAGTGTATGTTTTTTAGCAATCTTTTGATAAATAACACAACAATTTCATAGAATTCTTAGAGTTCGGGCGCCTGGGTGGCTCAGTTGGTTAAGCGACTGCCTTCGGCTCAGGTCATGATCCTGGAGTCCCAGGATCGAGTCCCACATCGGGTTTCCTGCTCGGCAGGGAGTCTGCTTCTCCCTCTGACCCTCTCATGCTCTATCTCATTCGCTCTCTCAAATAAATAAATAAAATCTTAAAAAAAAAAAAAAGAATTCTTAGAGTTCAGAGTACTGCGTCTTTATCTCAGAGTGATGAAATGCTATGTGCCTAGGAAATTGATGAAGGCAGGAAGTAAACCCAGTTTTTAATTTTCTGGGGATTTTAACAGGTGATAAATTCTTTGAAATAATTGTATCACTTTTTTTTTCCAGAGTAAAGGCTTTGGGGAATATTTTTGGAACTATAGTATAATTTGGAGATCTTTTACCTTTTTAGTTATTCCACTGATTACCATTAGGTGGCGATAAATGGCCATAGTAGAAACAAAATAGGTGAAGAGAAATCTGGATTATAGAGACATTGGAGTATCTGAAAACTAATTTTTCCCATGAAGTTTGAATTCTCTATATTGTAAATTTTTTTAAGTAGGCTCCACACCCAGGATGGAGCCCAATGTGGGGCTTGAACTCACAACCCTGAGATCAAGATCTGAGTAGAAATCAAGAGTCGGAGGCTTAACCCACTGAGCCACCCAGGCTCCCCTATATTGTAAAGTTTTTGTTTGCTAATATATACTTAATTTTTTCCTGACATCTTATCAAGTGTACATTCACATCTTAAATATCTTTTAAAAAGTATTAGTGCTGCTTAATCATTTTTTAGGGTCATAGTACAATCTAGAATGTGTTGACAGCTAGTGATCCCCATCCCAGAAAGATGTGCATCTCATTTCACCTGAAGCCCATCATGAGCACAGGTCCAGATTCCCATCTACTTTTCTAGTAACAATAACTGCAAATTCACCCTTGTCCTCCAGTAAACCGGACTGATGACATGGACTAGTTTATGTTTTCTCCAAAACATTTGTGGCGCCCCCTTTGATAATACACGTTTTCTCAGGCGATTATATGTCCTAAAGGTGTGACTGCCAGAAAAGACCCCCGTGGGTGTCCCAGCCACATCATCGTCAGTGAGTCAGCGGGCTGACGGGTGCCAGGCGCGGCAGCCTGCTGGAGGACGCAGTCCTGCCCTGTGGGCTCCGTCTGGCTCTGCTCCCCACTCCACTGCTGTCCTTCTGTCACTGCTCAAGTGTCTGTAGCCTCAGAATTGCTACAGGGCAGCCCCCCCTTTATGTTCACTACACTCTTGTGAAGACCTGCAGAAATTCCATTGCTTTCCCTCTACCTTTTGGTCTCATCTTTTAGGACCCAGTATATTTTCAGATTTGCCCTTCAACTTGTGCTCTTTAGTCTACAAATACTTAAAAGTATCATATTGACTAGATTCAACTACCTACTGTTCTCCGGTTCACTTAACTAAGAGGTTATCTTTGGGGATAGGGAAGGATTCTGTACTTCCCAATATTGTTAATTTCAGAGATTAGTTATATAACCTAGGCATAAGATAGAACTCTAGAATTTACTTAAATCTTAAAGCATAGAAACACTATACAAACTGTTAGGGTATTAAATATCTATCAAAAGTAGAATTAACATACTTCTTAGAGTAAATTATTATGTATTTATGGCATAAACAATATACTCAATGTTCATTTTATTTAACATATTTAGTATCTCATTCAATTAATTTAACCATATATGTTGCTTTACCATCCTTATAGATGGTCTATTAAATCAGTTGTGAACTATTACTTTCAATGCCTTTAAATAACTTTTACTCCCTCCGCATCTAGCGTAAAAGAGCAGTGGACCTGAATGTGAAAATCTTGGACTTGAGTAATATATTTCTTATGGGAACTAACTTTCCCAACAAGATTGAGAAGCATCTCTTACCAGAACACATTCACCCTAACTTTGTAGTAACTGGAAATCATGTCATAATTGATGGTCTACATGCAGAAGCTCCAGACGACTTGGTATGTGCATTCCACTCTCTTCATAGTTTAGCTCCCGCCTGAGTGTTGCTACTGTTTTAACCCAAAATTCAGTGGTAATGTAATCATACCTTTAAAAATACTTGAGTGTTACTAAGCCCTAAAATTGGACTGTGGGCTTATTAATTCCATACATGCTTTGAATGATGAAAATGGTTTAATCATTCATATCTCATCAAGAACTCCTCATTTTTAAAGTATAATAAATAGCAATTGACATTTGGACTACTCAGATTCTTAATGCTTGTAGTCTTCACCTGGTTAAAGGTGCTTTATAACACATGCATTGGGTAAAAGATTGTTCCACCATACCCCACAACAGAGAACTCCAGTCAAGAATGTGTTTGTATCCCATACTAGTTTATGAATCTAAAAGCTTTATTCACCCTGTATAAACCCTTATTTTATTTTTAAAGCAATGAACAACTGTAGAATAGAGAAGTGAGAGCCTGCATTGTCATTGCATGGGCCTTTGTGTCATGGTACTTATTATACCTTCTAACATTTCATTTTAAATACAGGTTCGAGAAGCTGCTTATAAAATTTTTCTTTATCCCAATGCGGGTCAGTTGAAATGTTTGGAAGAATTGCTCAGCAACAGAGACCTTCTGGCAAAGTTAGTGGGGTACTCCACATACTCCCACAGAGCCCTCCAAGGCACAATAGCCAAAAATCCAGGTAAGCTTGTTCACCCAACTTTTCAGAACAAAATAGGATTTTTGCGAAACTGAACTTCTGATTTTAAATAGCTATAAATCGGTGTTCTCTTTTTAATATACTAATATACTCAGAGATCCATTTATTGAGATTTTCTACATCATTATATAGAACTGACTTCTAAATAGAGCCAATAGTTTGGAATATATTCTCTCCAACCAAGGTAATTTATTTTTTGTGCATGTTTAGAGTTAAGTCATACTTAAGTTTTCACTGATGCTAATTTCAGTTGTTTTCATTTTAACTCAGCTAGTTTCTGTGGTCAACCTAGCCAGATTGGTTAGAATTAGTGTGAAAGAGGAGGAAAGATCAATAAATCTGTTGAAGACAGGGTTGAATATAGGCTCGGGCTATAAAAACACATAGTTCTATAAACCTCCTTTTTAGAGAGAAGAGTGTTGGATGGGAGGGTTTGTGTTAAGTGGGGAAAAAGCATCCTGGGGTTTATTAGAGTCTTGCCTTGTGCTCTGTTGAGTTCTTTATGATTTAGAATGTATAAAAGAAAGCGTTACACAATAGTAATAATGTAAGTGTGTATAGTAAGTTTTTTCAAAGGCATATTAAATTCCCGTCATAGTTCAGACACTGAGTCAGGAGTAGGGTAGTTGCAATGGTAGAACTGTTCAGATTCAAGATCTCTTTTAGAGGTCGAATCTATGAGACTTGGTGATGGGTTGAGAAGGAGTAGGAGACGGCATGTTGGGTACCCGTGGTTTCTGATTATGCATGTGGGTGGATGTGCCATTCACGGATAGAGGGAACACTAGAAATGAACTCCGTCTAGGAGGAAGACCACATTGTTAATTCTGTTCTGTCATTATTCCTTCCTTGCGTATCCCTTCTCTCTCTAGTATGTTCCTATCTTCTCCAAAGTGTTCTTAAAAAATGGCCATTTCTTTTGTAAATGGCTATTCCCTTGAGCTGTCAAGGCTCTCTGTGAAACCATAGGCACAGCACACTCATTCCTTTGCTCATGTTGTTCCCTGTATGGGGCACAGCTCCCCTCTCCCAATCTGTCTGCTGAAATCCTATAGATTTTCAGTGCTCAGCTCAAAACCTACCTCTTTCACAAAGCCTCTCCACTTTCCACTTCCCTTAGACACCCTTGTCTCTGAACTCCTTCAGTGCGTACAATTTGTTTCACCCTATTTAACTCCTAAATGGATCTTATGTCATGTTGTGTGTTTCTCTGTGGTCATTGTTGTCATCACGTTGTTACAATAATTTATTATTATTATTATTATATGTACAGTTGATCCTTGAATGATGAGGGGATGCTGATACCCCCCCAACTGGCACAATCGAAAGTTCACATGTAACTTTTGACTCCCCCAAAACTTAACTACTAATAGCGCACTGTTGACGGGAAGCCTTACTGATAACAAATGGTTGATTAACCCGTATTTGATATGTTCTATGTATTATATGCTGTGTTCTTACAATAAACTAGAGAAAAAACATTATTAAGAAAAACATAAGAGAAAACTCATTTATAGTACCATACCATATTTGTCGAAAAATATCCTTGTATAAGTGGACTGCACAGTTCAAACCCGTGTTGTTCAAGGGTTAACTATAATAATAGTAAGATGCTTACTCTGGGCCATTATTTCATTTAATTTCTGTGCAGCTGTGTGAGGTAGATGTTTGTATCCACCTCATAGCATAGAAACCCAAGGTTAGTTATAGTGCTAAAAAGTGGCAGGGCTGAAACTTAAACCCGGGCTCTAAATTTATGGTCTTTATAAGCTGTTTGAGACTAAACAGATGATGTAAAAGACATCATCTTCATTCATTGTTTTCATCCATTGATTCAGCAGATATTTACTGAGTGCTCACTATATGTCAGATATGATCCTAGGACCTAGAAATAAATCAGTATGTAAAACAGATGGAAATGCCTGCTCTTGTGCAGTTTATATTTCTATAAGGGAGATAAGAACAAAATACATAGGTAAGAAACACAGTAGGTTAATAGTTAATGCAAGATGTGGAGAAAACTGAATGGGGAAGGGGATAAGGAACGTGAACGTGTGGTGGTGGTGTTGGATTTTAAACTGAGTTGCCAGGGAGGGGCTCGCTGAGGATGCGGGGCATGTGAGTGTAGATTTGAAGGAGGTGCAGCCTATGGCTCACTAGGGGGAGAAAGTTCCAGATGGACGCACAGCGAGTGCAGAGGTCCCTAGGGTAGCTTGACACGTTTGAGGAAAAGCAAAATGGGCAAAGCGGTGAGTGGAGTGAGTGAGGGGAGTAGTAAGAGGTGGAGGCAGACAAAGGAGGGGCTGTGTTCAGCAGGGCTTTTCCTCCAGTGAGATCGAAAGTCATTGGGGGGTTTTGAGCAGAGAAGTAAGGTGATCTGACTTAAATTTTGCTGTCAGGTCATATGCTGCTGACACTGAGATGGACTGCAGAGAGGCAGGGCTGGAGGAGAGGCCATGTGGAAGCTGTTTTGCAGTAATCATGATGAGAAGGATGGCAGCTTGACCAAAATGGTAGCAGTGGAGTGTTTTGCAATGTGTCCGATTCTGGATATGTAGCATTTTGAAGGGGAACCAAGGTTTTTAACCTGATTAACTGAAGAGACATAGTGAGTTACTGCTAACTAAGATAGGGAGGACTGGAAGCTTGGTTTGGTTCAAGTTAAGTTGAGATGCCAGTTGGTGTTCACATGGTGATGTTGAGTAGGCAGTTAGATGTGTATATGTGGAAATGAGGAGAGTGCTGAGCCAGAGATATAAATCTGGGTCTTTATTTATTTATTTAAAGATTTATTTATTTTAGAGAGAGACCATGTGTGAGTGAGGGAAGCACAGGGGGAGGGAGAGAATCTCAAGCAGACTCTCCACTGAGCACAGAGCCTAACGTGGGGCTCAGTCTCATGATCCTGAGATCATGACCTGAGCCAAAATCAAGAGTTAGACGCTTAACAAACTGAGCCACCCAGTTGCCTTTGTGTCTTTATTTAAATTCATGAGATTGTATGAGATCTCCAATGGAGTGAGTGCATCTAAAGAAGAACAGAAGTCTAGGAAGTGAGTTCTGGGACCCTGCAAGTTTAGAAGGTCAGAGATATGAGGGAAAACCAGGAATAGCCACCAAGAAGGAGCATGAGTGAGAGAGGAGAAAAATGAACAGAGTGGGTGGTCCTGGAAGCCACATGAAGTGTCTTGAGAGAGTGATTAGCTGACTCAAATGCTGAGGGCAGGTGCAGTCTGAAGAAGGTTGAGGATTGACCACTGAGGTGAGCAGTGTGGACTGGAGGTCCCTGGTCCTGTAGCAGCTAATGCCAGATTTCATCACCAGTGAATCCATTGCTTAGTAGGTGATTAGTGTGGTCATAGTTTGGAGTTGGGCTGTTGTGTACAGTCACATAGGATGTGACTTGTGTCCTTAAGGAATTTAAAATTTAGTTGGGGAGATCAGTTATATAAAGATAAGTAATTATATAGGTCATTGTCTTCTCAGTGCCAAATGAGTGGTACGTATAGACAACACAATACTGTAGGATTTTAGGAGTTCAGGAAGTTTGTCAGATGCATGTGTGCTTGTTGAGGGTTTCATGAGGGAAGTGAAACTGGAAATCGGAGGTGAGGGAATGGTGAGCTTTCAGCAGAGAGAAGGAAGAAGGTAGGATATAAACAAGGGTTAAGGTGGGCATTCATGTGACAGGTGAATTAGGAAATAATTTTCCAGTGAGGCATTTATTGATTTTCAGGGGCTTTCAGACTCATTCTTTGTAACATAACAATTTTTCAGGTAGGTTAATTGAGGTAGATTTTTCACGTGTAAGATAGCTAGAAAAACAAAAATGGGTGAAAGTGAGTAAAAAATGTTTAGAAATAAAAAGCATGCACAGATGTACTTGAAAATACTTCTCTATGGCAGTTGATATGATATCCTGAAATAAGATTTCATTTTTAACGAAATAATGGTTTTTCTCAAAGGCCTGATACCATTTAATATGGTGCATGAGGCAGTGTTTTCAGGATTACTGTATACAAGGCTTGTTAAGGATCCACAGTGGCAGGAGACCGCATGGCTTCTTGGTTTGGATTAACCTCCATTCTTTTCTCAGGCTTTTATTTTACTCAGAAGATAACTTAAATTGGAGATGGCAGGAAACTTAAAACCATATACAAGATCATCTGGAAAATATAAAAACAGTGTTTGTGGCAAACTCTAAAATACATGTGAAAGCTCCCTATACATAAATCAATGGCAAAAAGTGGTAAATTCAAAAATACACATGAAAAATTCCCTATCATGGGAAATAATGATAGTTGCGCTATGTTGCCTTTATGAGTTTGTAATATATGACGACTATGGCTGAAGTACTTAAAAAAAATCCTAGCAGAGGTTAAATTTCTAACGTTCTAATTTTGGCATATTTTCTTTTGATATTGATCCTGAATAGATTATTCTCAGCTGTATATAAAAAACAAAAATAGTCCAGAAAAACATTGATTTTTAAAATCTAATTTTCAGTGAATCATGCTTCTAAATTGTACTGATTTTTATGAACAAATCAGAGTCTAGCTATCTTTTTAGAACTCAGGGTAAATTAGAAAGGTCTAAAAAACTTATTTTTTCTCTTACACATATGAGTAGATAGAAACACTTTGAAATTTTGGATTCTTTTTTTTAGCTCCCCATTCAATCCTCATCTGGGGGATAATCAAAGGCTTTGGATTATTACTATTTTGTTTAATATGTTTTTTGATAAATTGATCATCATCATCTGGAAATTTATATTATATTATATTATATTATATTATATTATATTATATTATATTATATTAGCAACCCTGGCACACTTTGAAAATGAGCACTTTAATGGCATTGTAGTGCATAGATTATGACCATTACATTCTAATTTTAACAGATATGTTCATTTTATTTTATGTAATTAAAGACATTTTCTTTTGGATTTCATTTTTAGAGACTGTCATGCAGTTCCTTGAGAAACTATCAGACAAACTTTCTGAAAGGTTAGTTTTTATTCCACTCTTTAGAGTGTGTATTGTAGTTTTTTTAAAAGGAGACTTGATTTATAAAAATTAGGAGGTGACCTATTAAAAATATAAGTATGGGAATATTGGGTCAGATCTGTGGATTAGTCAGCAGGAGATTGGATTGACTATGAGGGATACTTAAAAAGCACAAAGCTGTCTTCCTAAGGTGACAATCTTGAAAACTTGGGCTGTCCTCTCTGATGAACTAATTTCATTGTCTTAGAACCCGTCATTGATGTGTAATTAAAAAATTTTTTCCAAGCCTTTTTGAAACTATATGTTTTCAACTTGTACCACCAATTTTATAAGAAGTTCATAGTGTTTCTCTTCTTTTGGCCTAAATATAGGTGGCTCCTGGATGTGGTAAATTGATCCATGGTTTGGATCTTAAGAATGATCTGCCTCAACTTTCGTAGTTCTCTGTAGTGAGTCCCTTTGTTGTATTCCTGCCTTTCCGTCTTTGATAGAGTTACTTGTCCTTCACTGGTGCTCTTCTAGTGCTTTGCTGAGTGGCCACACTCCAGCAGCCTTCAGATACCTAGGATTCCAGGAAGAGGCATGTCATGGTTGTCTCATAATGCTGTTGAACATTTCCTTTGTCTTTTTGACTACACCAAAATGTTAAATTTTAGCTTAAATTTCCATTTTCTGTTTTTATAAACTCATGCCTTAGAACCCAGTCCTCTCTGATTTGGACTATATTTATAAATTCTAAACTTTTCTTTTAATCTAGTGAACCACTGTGGCTTTGATTTAATGAAGAGGCAGTGTTAATTATGCAGTTAATTGAGAATTTTCTCTACTTTGCTTTATTAGTTAAGTGGTAGTATTCTTTTTTCCCTTGTTTTAACTATGGATTATATTTTGAGCAAACATGTCTTCAGGTTTTTACAGTTATATATAGGAGTTAAGTCTAATAGAAACTTCGTATTCTATAGATGTTAAGCACATATTTGATTGTTGTCCACCTAGAGTTTTTCTCTAGGGGAAAAATTATTAATAGTAATTTTAAATATAATCTCTGTTCGTATTTTTTAATAGAAGGAAATTTGTTAGTCTCTTACCTTTTGAATGTATAGCAAAGGGCAGTGATTTAAAGTTTGCTGGTTATAACCTTTACATGTATCTGTAACATTGCTAATTTTTCCAAGCTTTAATACTTTCAAGTCCTGTATCTATTTGCTAGGATATTTTGTAAGGTAGAAATTGCGGTAATTTACTGATGATATATTGCTGTCCTTTCTAACACAGATAAAATTTGGATTAATACCGGTTTACATTTGCACTACAAATTACTTCCAATTTTATCATGAATACTGGAAGGTTACATAAGAAAAAAAAGTTCTTTTTTAAAAAAATTATTTAAATTCAGTTAATTAACATACAGTATATTATTAGTTTCAGAGGTAGGGTTTAGTGATTGATCAGTTGCATACACCCAATGCTCACTACATCAAGTGCCCTCCTTAATGCCCATCACCCAGTTACTCCATCCCCCCAGAAAACTAGTTCTTTAATAATGTAATTATTAAAATTTTGTCCTAACAATGAATGATGAACCTGTTTTACAGAACTATAAAAGACTTTGAAATGATACGAGGGATGAAAATGAAACTAAATCCTCAAAATTCTGTAAGTGACAATTTGGAATATTTTTATTATAGTATAAACAGTCTATCAGCTGAAGTCCTTATCTTTTGACTCTAGAACTTTCTTGTGATATGCTAAAGGTGTGTATGGTCTTGTTTCTGCTCCCTGGTCTTGGTTCCGATCCTTGGGTTTGGTGAACAAAATACCGAAATACTTGAAATACTTGAAATACTTGATCCATATGTCTGAATTTGACATTTCCAGGAAATCCAGTATTTTTTTGTTGTTTAGTTGACATAATACTCACGCATGGTCATACGCATATACACGCCTATAAATGTATATTAACAACGTATGTTAATACACATCACGCAAAGGCTGCTTCCATTGTACCGAAAATGGGCTTCTCAGTTTGAAGCAGCCTTTAAGCAGGCTCAGTGGAGGATTGATCTGGTAGGTGGGAATTTAACCATCAATGTTAACATCGCAGTTTACTTTCTTATTTGCTAATTTATGGAGCTCAATTAAATCGATGTTGACTTCAAAGTATACCCATCTTAACACAGGAGCCCTACATGAGACCCGCTGTATCTCTAACCCTATAATCCTTGTCTCGACAAGCCCTTCAGGTTATTTATTACAACGCCCCCCCACCCCCATCAGTTAATAAATCTTGTAGATTCTACCTTTCTGAGAACTCTGTGTTCCTGCCTCTCCATGCCTATTGCCACAGCCCTGGTTGAGGTCATTGTTACTTCTCTCCCAGATTATAGTTGTAGTTGCCGAACTGGTTTTCTAGCCTTTTTTTCTGGCTCCTGGTTTGGACTGCTTAGCAATGCGCCTAGTTCAGTGTTAAACATAGGGTAGGTGCTCAGCACTTACCTGAAATATGAATGAATGAATGAATGAATGACTTGCCACCAGAGGGATTTTGCCAAAAAGCAGATCTGATCTTGTCACTTTTTTGTTTAAGATTTTTCAGTGGCTTGCTGTAATTCTCAGATTTACCTTCCTATTTCTTAGCTTTCCCACCAAGCCTTTCCTAATTTTGCTTCTACCTGCTTCTCTAGCCTTATCTTCTGCTGCCCCTTTAAGTCCAGTTAATGTCCCTAGTTCCCTACAGATAATACCTGTGTGATGCTCTTGTGCTTTTTTTTTTTTTTAACCTACTTACTGCTTTGCTTGCCCCTGCTTTCCTTTCTTTTGTTTTTTAATTCTAACTGATATTTATGCGCCAGCAACTATGGTAGGTAGCTTGCCGTCACTCAGAAACACCATACACAGGAATGCCTTTCCCTCTTTCTCATCTGGATTCAGTGTGCCCAATCTTCCAAACTCAGCTCCAGCTTTGTCTCCTCCCAACATTTCCTGACCTTCCACTGTGATTTAAATACCCTTCTCATGGGCTCTATTTCACATGGGACAACATCATGCACATGACCTATTGTACTCTGGTTGTGGAGTCAATTGTCTTTCTGCTGCCTAGACCGTTTTCCGCTCCTTGGTACAGGGATTGGGTCTTACTGGGTTTTGTTTCCCTAGAGCCTGCACTCTCTGGTACGTAGCAGATAGTAAATGGTCATCTGTTGGAGGAAATGTGTCCCAGGAACTGGACACTTGGGGGCTAGAGTTTCGGGGATGTTGGGAGAAGGAAAGTAAGCCTGTACATGTCTTACATTGGCTAATTCCATGGTAACAGCGTGATCATGGAATATGAGAAAGAACACCTTGTTATTCAAGGAGATAATGTCTGAACTGAAAATTTAAAGGATAAATCAAAGGATAGAGCCAGCATTCATGGAGCTCTTACTCAGTGCCAGGTATTCTGTTAGTAGTTGAAGTGCATTAAAAAATGCTGTTTACTGAGGCACTACCGTGTAGCCGACAGCGTTCGGGCTGTCAGGATGTAATAGGAAAAATGCGAACAAAGTCCCTGTCCTCAAGAAGCTTACATTCTAGGGGAGGAATACGGATAGTAAATACATGAAATAAATATGTGCTGTGTTGTATTGTGATAAGGGCAACAGGGGAGAATAATGCAGAGAAAAGGGGATGGCAGTTGCTGTTCTCTAGGGACTGGTCAGAGAGGACTTCTTATGTGAGAAGACCCTTGAGCAGAGACTTGGAAGAGACGAGGCAGTGCCCTGCAGCAGTAATGCAGGGCAGACCCTTCTCCACAGAGAGAGCAGCTGCCCCCTGTGGTCAAGGAACAGTGAGGAGACCAGTGTGGCCAGAGTGGAGCGAGGGAGGGCAAGAGCGGCAGGAGGTGGGCTCAGGGTACAGAGGGGTGGGATCAGGTCGTGTAGAAGGAAAACGGGAAAGCATTGGCAAGCAGAAAGAACTTTTCCACATTGTACAATAGTGTGGATTGCACACTTGAGCCCAGGCATTCTGACTTCATGGCCTGGGCTGTTAGTCACTCGTGTCACCTGGGCAGTTTGTGGGGAGGAGGATCATTCAGGGATTCAAGCTTTTCTTCCCTTCAGTATTCTGTACCAGCTGTCAAAACCAACTATTGTGACAGTGTTTCTTTATGACATATTTTCTTTGCCAAGATTAGAGCTAATTCTCCCTTCGTTACACTTGAAATTGTTGCTTTCATTTTGGGGATCCACCCTAAGCTTCCTGCTTAGATTTAGAAAGAACTCTAATCTTACCTTTAGGACCCTAATCTTACCTGCAGTATATTTTATGGATTGATACATGGGTTGCATTTTGGGAAAAATTTCAACGTGGCTGATTTAATCTATTAATGTTGACTTTTATGTTTACATTTTACATTATTTACCTTTTCCCCAAATTCTGGGATTATGTTTTATTTATACCTCTGTACTCATTGATTACAGGGAAGTCAAAATAAAGAGGTGGGCATTTCATGAATTTTTAGGGTTTTTATAACACTTCTCTGATATTATAACAGGTTTACATTTTATAAGCTGGGTAAATTTTTGATAAAAATTGTGAAGTAGTCAATAACTCTCATAGCAATGAATTTTTCCATTGTAGGAATTAATGCCTTGGGATCCCCCCTACTACAGTGGTGTGATTCGTGCAGAAAGGTAAGTATTTTTGAAGAAATCCTCATCTATGAGAGGGAAGAAAGAAACTAATATTCATTGAGCACCTTGCACATTAATTATGCAACTACTGTCTTCACTCAGTTGCCCACATCATAAGCCTGTACGCTCTCAAGTCCAGGCCTTGTGCTGGCACGGTCTGCGTTTACCCCCATGTTTTTGGTCTGGATTAAACCTGTGCTCTCAGTCATAGGATCATGCTCTACTGCTCCCCCAGAGACTGTTCTTCTATGGCTCATGCCATTTCCTTGTTTAAAACTTTTCAGTATCTCCCTGTGGGGTCTGGAATCTGGCTTCTCCCTGTGTGTGGCTTTTAGGTTCCCTTACTAGACTGAGCATCTGGGGGGCTGGGACTTTGCTAGAACCCCAGTTGTTTCTTGTTTCTGGCCCAGGTTGGGTGCTCAGCAAATATATGTTGAACCAGTGAAAGAATAACGTAGTCCTTGGGATGGGGCTCTGTGATTTTCTTGTTTCCTCATTTTTATTTGAACATATTGTGGACACTTTTTTGGCACATCTGGAAGGATATATGTGGAATAAAGATTTAGGACAGCTTGATGTGAGTACTCCTCTAGCCTCCGTGTTCTCCTGTGTTTATTATATTATGACAAACTAGTAGGTATGCTCTTTTCCCTAAATATGCCCTATTTCTGTCATTTTTATAGTTGCATGTAAACCTAAAAAATACAGAGGCCTGTTCAAAGTGAACACATTTAGAAATGTTGATGTCCCAAGCAACTTTACATACACAAAAGGAATTAAAAAAACAAAACTCCAAATCCTACCCTTCAACAGATTTTTAACATTTTTCTCTTATACTTCCTTTTTGAGCTCCTCAGCTTTAACCCAGAGAATTAAGATTGATTTAGGTAATGGAAGAAAATAAAAGCTTTGTGTCTTTTTCTTCATTAAAGCATGTTGGCTTTATACCATGATAATAATATGCTTATTTGGTTGGTATTTAACTTTAAGGTCTTTTTGTTACTATGCATTATTCGGGCATCAAATGAAGGGTAATAAATACCTCACTAAAATTAGACTTTTTGTTTATTTTAATGATTTTTTTTTTATATTTGTCACAAAAGCAGAAAACAGTAATTTTTGGTGTTCTTTTCTGCACCGGTAGGGGGAGGTACCCTGAGATCAGTTAGTGTGTTAAGGAGCTTACCCACTTAATATTCATTCATTTTCCTCTCTGTGGCTTCTCTGTGACATCTCTGTTCCTTAGACTACTCTTACTCACAAAGCATATTGTCTCATAATACTTTGTCAGCTACTGTTTTTAATACATATATCCCAAATTCAGCATGAGCCACCTTTTCTATGGAAGCACATAAATGTTACTCAAAATCTGTAATCATTTGATTACGATAAACAGTGAGTACTTAGAATATATTATAGCTTAATATAATTATTTCACAAATACGTTTTATGGCTGCAGAACTTCGGACTTTGCTCCCTATCTTTACATAAAACAATACAGTTTCCCTTTTCAAATTTTTTCAAAGAAAGATTTGGCTTGGTTGCTTGGCCAACCAAGATCTAGCATAAAGGAACACTAGAATTTTTTTTATCAATGCCTTTCATATAAAAAAAGGTTTTAAAACAATTTTTGACATTGGAAAGTAATGTAAAATAGAGGTATTTGTTTCTTTGTGATTTTTGCTACTGTGATTTTTATGTGGTATTCCTGTGTTTCATGTCGCCCACCCCTGATTATTTTAATGAATGCCTTAGCCTTATATTTAAGTGATATTTTTGTCATTTAGCTTTATTCTGTAAGTGTAGGATGCCCAAATGGTGCTTCTATGGAAATGACATATGAATATTTGAAGAGTTGGAAAGCTATACTCAGTTGTAAAGTATATGCATTAATTAGGAATATGAGAGAGATCCCTGAGAAGTCTGATAGTAATCTTAAATAAAAGACATTGAATAAAAGATAGTGACTGTCTCTTCTCCATTTCTACCAAAAGTACAATATTGCAAAGTCAGTGTTGCTGACTGACTCTGGAGTCAGTACTTAGAGATGGCTGAGCCCCCAGGTGGGTTGGGAGTTCTCCCCCTGTTAGCCACAGGGACAGGGTCTCACTGTCCACATGGGCCATTGGAGAGAGTGGGAACACCTGAGGCGTCATGGCCGCGTGGTCTGGAGCACAATCCCTGAGGTCTGGGCGGCCTGGGTGAGTCCCGGCTCCACCACTAATGAGCTACACACGACCTTTGGAAAGTTACTTGTCCTCTCTAACCTCTCAGCAAAGGTGTCTATAAAATGGGAGTTGTAATAGTCCCTACTTCATAGGTCAGAAATAATGAGTTAATGTTGGTATCACTAGTACTGAAATAATATTATATGGAATCGGCCTTCTCTGGACACTGTTCTAGAGGATGATCTACTCTAACAGATGCTTTTGAAGTGTTCTCTAGAATCTTTTGAGGGAGAGGTCACTGTCCCTGAAGACTTCTCTAAGAAAGCACTCATCTAAAGTATAATGAACGTATCGAGTCAGTTGTCGAATGCTCGTCAGAGAAGCTTTTAATGTTGGTGAAAGAACACGGGGACAGGGATGTCCACCTTGCCTCTGCTTCCCAGAGCATTGCTGTGTCCCGGAGGGAGGAAGACTATGTCTGGCTGGCAGGACAGCTCACTTTTGGTCTCTTTCCTCTTCAGGGTCATGGGATAGCTACTGCCTTCAAAATAGAATTGGAGCCGTCATTCGTGGCTTCTAGGATCTGGTCACAGCCCACTTTTCTTTACCAATGAGTACACACACACCCACAGTTATTTGTGGGGTCTGGCCTGTCCTTCTGGTCTTTCTTATCACGCCTCTTTATAGTTTTCCTCAACCAGACTAAACTCTCTGCCCCAAGTCAGATCCCTTTCTGTCTTGGGCAGAGTCTGTATCTGTCGGCTGCTAGCGTTCCCCTTGCCTTTCTTTGCTGTCTTACCTGTGAAGTTTTACCAAGAGTTCACAAAACCTCCAGGTCTGCCACAGCTGCTGTAGTTCCTGTCACCACCATGCTTGCAGCCTACGTGCGGCACACTTGACCTTCTAACAATGTGTTCTTTTGGTGTCTTATGTTAAACATGTCATGTCAACCATACCGTGAAGCTCTTGAGAACAAAGTGTGTCTTGTTTCTTCTATTTGAAGTAAAATGTGGCACATACACTCTGGACTCCCAGTAAATGAATTGTTTGATAGCCATTGTTCAAGACTGTCTAAACCAATAATTGGAAATCCTTATTAAAAGCAATCTGGTGATACATTTTTTTGTAAAGAAGAATATCATATTTTTGTGAATGGACCTTTTCATCTCTCAGATTTATTGAAAGCAGTGTGACCCTCAGGAGGCCTTCAGAATGCTCATTTGTTGACAGAGATTTCTTTCTTTTTTTTTTCTTATGTTAATCACCATACGTTACATCATTAGTTTTTGATGTAGTGTTCCATGATTCATTGTTTGCGTATAACAGCCAGTGCTCCATTCAGTACGTGCCCTCTTTAATACCCATCAC